TGTGCTACGCGTTGATTCATGTCGTATATTGGCACACATGAAACTCCTCAAAACTAAGAGTTTATGTCTATAAATTACTTTCTCGATTTCTTATGGTTTTACGAGATTTTTCGACCTCTAACAAGTCATTTATGAAGAATTCGAATTGAGTAATATTGGTCTGAAGAAATATGTATAGGCTTATGTAATTGATTGTAACAAAATATAACTCTAATTTTAATTGTCTAGAAATTAATATTACATGGTTAACGTTTTTTGTGTACTCAAAAAGTGAGTACACTCTAGAATCGGTCAGTATGTCCGCCCGTCCGGCCGTTTACACGATAACTTTTGAAAGGAGAGTCCGATTGCGATGAAATTTTCTACACAGCTTAGTCTCAACAATATCTCGGTTGAGTTCGAAGATGAGAAGGATTGGCCGCGCCATTGCTGAGTTATTGCAAAAATACTCATTTTTCCCTATGCCTTCCTATGCGAGAATCGACCTATCCCGCTTTCGTAAAAAGCTTTTCCTATTATAGTCAAATAAAACCCCAACTATTATACACCATTCGATAGAGAATTTCACGAGCTACAAAATGATATATAAAACATAAAGAAACAAGAAGGTTGGCTCATCTATCACAAAGATAATTAAAGAGAACTAGGTTATATTTTTGTCCACGATCTAATTGATCCACAAATAGAGCTCTATCTTCCGATCACAGTGATGATACTTCGAGGTTTTCTGAGATGGAGAACTCGAATCTGTATTCCACTTCCATCGAAATACTATTGGTTGAGCAGTGACCAATAGAAATCAAGTTATAGGAAAAACGACTTTCTTAGGGTAAATCAAGGGGAAGAGTTCAAATTTGAGCTGTATTCGGTCCCAAGTCCTATTGGTTTGGCAATACTCAATAGAAATCAACAGTTTAGAGGGTAGGTTCCCCAGTATAATTTTGATGTCCACACGTTCTAGAACGACTCATCTGTCTCATTCACTTTTTGACGTACACATAACTCTCGGATTTAAATCCGAAGTTTCCGCATTTATTTTTTAATAAATTGTTTTCTTTATCAGAGATTATAAACGATTCTAGATACATTTAACTATTATGTATTAGACTGATTATTTTCTTTCAAATGAAAAGAAGTTCGATTAGATATGAACAAATGATGATTGATCTGTTATCAATAGTAAAATCAGTTTAATACATGATATTTATCTAAGGAGTTTTTTTTTCTAACTATTAGTAGTTATACCTATTAAATATATAAAAATTTGAAAACACTAAATATAATTTCAGTTTTATTAATTTAAATGAGTACAGCTAGAATATTGATTTAAGATCAGCTCATATGAGAAATATCTCAAGTATATTGTTTTTGTGAATGATGTTAGATGATTAATTGACTGACATTCATTGTTATGTTTTTAAAAGTTTTATCACTTATTCAATAAATCATTGTTACATCTTTTCAAAAAATAATATATTTGATATAATTAATATTAAAATTGTATTATCTTTTGAATTAATATTTTATTATCTATTGTTTTCTTTCTTTGATTTCTGCTAGAGTAATACTTTGTCTAATGATAATCTAGAACAAAAAAGAAAAGGAGTAATAGTGTACGAACACCATTGTATTATTGGTATTGTATTATCAGAAGAATGATACTTGAATATGCGATATTTTAAACAAATTCAACTCATTATACAGATCTTCTTGAACTACGATTTGAACAAATAAAGATTAGTGATCACATTAAATGATAATGTATAAGTAAACTGATCAATGCAATGTGTCGATCTGGGTGTGATTGTATCTGTTATTCAATAACTCACATTCACACTCATACTCATTCATGAAATACCTTTGGATGATCTTCTCACTATTACTAAGATGAACAATATTGTCTATAGTATAACATTCACAGCTGCTAGTATTCATCTCTATGAATTGATTCATCATCTTCTTCATAAGTACTTGAAACAAGGAATAAATTTACAATGTAACACCACGAAGCACAATACATGCATCTAAAGTCATCTTTGTTACAAATGCATACATGGCTGATATTCTTCTATTATTCAATAACACAATTGTGCCTGTACCTCTAAAAATGACCTATTCAATATTAATAAAAGAAAATCAATTTGATTACATGATAGCTCGTCAAACAAGAGATCGATATATCATTCTCGGTGAAGCAATACTTGCACATCTCTGGAAAATGAAAATTTGGCACAATAATTGGGATGACAGTGTTCTAATATAATAATGAAAAAATTAAGAAATATTTCGAAGAATTTATGACCAAGCATTTTGACGCATGAGGAACTGATGATGGTGGAGTCCAAGAATTTTGGGCTACTGTCCGTTTCAAAATATAGTGTACGCCACTGTTTTTTAAATAACTCAAGAACGCAACGAGCTAGAGACCTGCGATTTTCACCAATCGATAGATGAGGCAGAGGGACGTCTCTTTCTCAGATAATGTGTAAGGCGAAATCCTTTTAAAATTAATCATCTCTAAAGAACATGGAAAAAAATCCATGAAAATGACGTGCCATCCAGATGAAATTTTGATTTTGACCTTTGATTTAGATAGAGGAACTTGAGATCTACAGTTCAAGATGCAATGCAAATACTTTTCTTATTGCATTCTAGCGTTGACCAAATGGAATCATGTATTTACATGCACAAATAATAGGTAATTTTAGTGAGTTTTTACTATGTTTTTGTATTTTTATCATAATAGCTGGACATTTCGATGAAAACGTAAGGAAAAGTAAGAAAGTGCATTGTATCTTAAACTATAGATTTCAAGTTCCTCTATCTAAATCACAGGTCAAAATCAAAATTTCATCTGGATGGCACGTCATTTTCATGCATTCTTTTCCATGTTCTTTAGAGATGATTAATTTTAAAAGGATTTCACCATACATATTATCTGAGAAAAAAGACGTCCCTCTGCCTCATCTATCGATTGGTGAAAGCCACAGGTCTCTAGCTTGTTGCGTTCTTGAATTATTTAAAAAACAGTGGCGCACGCTATATTTTGAAACGGGCAGTACAATGTATTGCCTCACTATTAAAATTATTGTTTTTCTACTAGTTTTCTATAAATACAGAATAGATTTCTCAATAAAATGAAAGATAAATAAAACTTTCGATAAATAGCCTATTGTACGAACAATATTTCTTTGAACTTGGATCCGATCTATAGGACAATTTTTAACCTGGATTCGAATGAACCTATGTCTGGATAATTCACACTCAGAGGATTACTTTAACAATTTTTATGGAATGGATATATCAAAATAAAGTATTTATTATCAAGATTAAATAAATTGAAGTTTATTAATCAATATTAACATAAAAAGAAAATAAAAACACTCAGCTGAATCATTAACTATGCTCATAGTCTTTGAACACAGTGGGTTTTATTTTCCATAGTTTAATCTCATAAATATTGTGTTACAAATCATAATTTAAAAAAAAAATTTGCATGTATATAAAATTGGTCTTCAACATGAATAGTGTTTATTGATACTTGTGGAGATAATTCTCTTCGTCACAGTCGTATTATCATATAGTGAAAAGAAAATCATCAAATGGATACTTTTCTTGAGTCATGATTTGCATCCGAATAAACGAATTAAATATAATCATTATTTGATAAAACCACTTGAAGTAACCATTAGTCAATCTTGATTTTTTGATATAATCAGTATCGTATATAGATGAACAGTTTTTCTTTGCAAATTTCGTTAATTTTAATATAATCGAGTTAATTTCTGATGATTTAGATTTTGTTCGTATCATTAGCAAATGGTTGTCATTGTTTGTTTGTTAAAGAACATTTTACTTTGCTGTTACATCTATCTCAACTGTCATTTTTCTTTGTAGATAATACAATAAAACTATGTTTTAAATTACAATCAATTGAAAAACTTCAAGAATTTAGATATACAATCATATTATAAAAAGAAACATCAATCCAAAGATACAGAAAAAAGTAGAGAAAAATACAAGTGAAAAAGAAGATATAATAGATAAAAATATCGAAAAAAATATAAATACATAAAAAACGATAGTGTTAATAAAGAGTGTACATTCATAATACAAACATAATAGGAATATAAGAATATTTAGACAACACCATAGAAAAGTGAGAAGATCCTTGACACTAGTCGATTTGTTTGTATACTAATTAACATATTGAATATTATTCTTCACAACGATCTAGATATTTGTAAATCTGGGAGAAGAGAAAGTTTAGCTATTCTCTAACTACATTTCAATGATATCTCATTATCTACTTCATTTGTTTCGAGGAACGACAGTAAAATTGTTTTAAAGATTTAAAGAGGAAATATTGTATGAAAATGGATAGTAGTCAAGAAAATAAAGTTCACACAAGCATGGCCTGAAGATTAAATGTTGAAAGTCAAACTAAATTCCCTTTTATTGTCATATTCAAGTTATCAACATGTGTATTAATGATGAATCGGAATTATCAATATCTTTCATTTGAAATTTAGTTTAATGATGAAGACTTCATGAGTATTTAATTAAGAAAAAAAACCATGTTTGAATTGATCGTTTAACTAAGAGGATTTTTTGTGCCGATCGTATTGGGCTGGGAAATTTGTAAGTTTTCGTAGAAATAAAGATACTACAGTAGAAGTACTGAAAAAGGAAACATTGGTGATTTGAATTTTCCATTTTTCAATATTTTTATTACAGTTTCATTATTTCTACATCAACTTAGAGTGTAAAAGTGATCATTGACAAAGAAATTCTTTCATATTGAATTAGCCTTAAAACTATCTGATGATTTATATATGATTGAAGTCAAATACGTGTGCTATTATCGGAAGTGTGGTTATGGATAAGGATGGAAAGGATATTCACTCAGGCCAAGATTCTCATTCAAGACAATTGAAGGTAAAGTTTTGTTAGAATTCAAATTTGTGTATGACAAAGATTTGGCTATCAGGGTATAACATTCATTGATTCGACTTATTTTCACATTGACTATATGCTAAAATATAATCTTTAACATTATATTGATTTTGTTTAGTAATGCTAATGTTTATTTTCTCTTACTTCTTCTTGTTTTTCTCGGCTTTGACTCTCTGAATTATTTTTTTCATCAACAACAAACTGATGTATTTCTGAAAGAGCCTTTGTTGATTTATCTCCAAAATAACTATTTCTTGATGAAGTCAGCTGCGATTCTACTATTCTCAATATTTGATCTGTAATTCTGTCTGATACTAATTGCATTAATTTACTAAAATTATTCGTTTCCAAATTAAACATATTTTTGTGTAGCAATATTAGAAAGTTTAAAATATAATCTTTTTGCGTATCAAATTCAGAAAAATCAATTTGATTTAATTTAGTGAGAAATTGTTCATTTATTAACTCGCTATTTAGCTCTATTATACCTTGTCTTTCAAGAAGATTTGCAATTTTCTTGGCGTCATCTTTACTGAATCTACAATAACGATAGAGAATCTGCTGCACTGATAAATTTTCCTGATCGAATCCCGAAAGTTTCTTTAATAATTGTTCACGAGTTGTTTCAAGAATAAAAGTAATTTCATGTGTTGTATTTAGAATACCAGCTATTATAAGGCCCATATTTGCTGCATTTCGTATTTTTTCTGCATTTGATAAAATACCTTTACATAGTGGACCACCAATAGAATCCCACTGTTTGCGCCAAAAACTACGCTGAGAATTAATCACTTCAAATGTTATTTTTTTGATTTCTTCCTTTAGTTGTTGATTTTTATTTATTTTGTCGATTCCATACATTTTTTCCAATAGTATATCTAAGTCTCGATTACGGAGTACATTGTTGACCTTATGCTGAATGGACTCCGAAATTTGTGATTTCAATTGATCGGGTACAAAAGAAAAACCTATATCCGATGATCTGTTTAATACCATCAAAGATTCTCCTAATAACCTTCCACTGGCCCAAAACATCATTTGTCCTATAGCTTGGCGTTTCAAACTTTTTCCAATGTGGAGTACTATATGAGTTGTCAATCTTTCATTTGATATTGTTTGTGTAGTAATTTGTTCAATTGCTTCTTCCCCTATGGCTGTCACAACTGTCTTAGCTCCTTCGCCCATATTCTTAATTGCTGAAATTCCCAATGAAGCAGCCGTGATAACTAGACCTACTGCTTTGTGCATTGCATAATCTAACCAAGAAAATTGTCTTTTTCTATAGGCTCCATATGCAGTGAACAAATCTACTACTCCTTCAGTAATCAGACCCATACCTAAAGTGAGTCCGAATCCAGTTCCAATAAGAACTCCACCTACTGCCATTTGAACAGCAGCTATGGCAGCTATAGTGGCAATGCTAAGCCATGGGATGAAATTCTTTTCATTAATTTCAAGCAAATATTGGATACCTCGGCCGAAAAATTCTGAAAGTTCTAAATCTGGTCTTAATTCATTTATGAAGAGTTCTTCTAAACTTTTAACTTTATTTATTTGGATATATTCTTGGTCTATCGGAGCTATTTCTATAAGTTTGTTTACTTGAACATTTTTTAAGTTTTTAAATGTCAAACTAAAATCGAGTTTAATCTTCCTTAATTGAGTGATAAGAGTTTTAGCAGTTTCTTTTCCTAATTCATCAAATTGAATGTTTACCAATTCATTGTTGATTCCTTTTGAAAGACTCTTAATATTTACATTAATGAAACAAATATTATAAATTGCATTCGGACAAATATCGATGATTTTATTTATTGCTTCTTTGTTCACATCTATTAGTTTAATTATGATTGTGTTCTCTGAACTTTCTTTAATTATTTTCTGAGCTTCCGTCTTATCTACAAGTTCTTTTTCTTTTTTGCTTGAAGAATACAATTCTATATGTTCTACATTTATCAATCTTATAACTTCTAGAAGTTGTTCTTTCCTATCGATAATTTCAAGATGAATACTTGTAGAACTAATTTCTCTTAACTTTATAGAAACATTTTGTCCAGTTAAATTAAGAAATTCAATAATTAATTTTGAATGATTTATTACTTTGTTTAAAATAACTTTGGATATCTCATTAGCGGAGAGAAAAGTCAAATTAAAACATGTATTATTTTCTGTATATTTATTAATGATATCTATTGCATTTCGCACTTGTAAACATTTTTCTTCTCGAATTATCTTATCGTCAAGAATAATATCTAAATTAACTTCATATGAATCAAGACGAAAGTCTTCGTGCAATGCATAACGATGGAAAAATGAACTTTTACCATTCAATTGTTGTAAAGCTATTTCTTTTGTAACATTTTTAGTTTCAATATTAGGATTAATAAGCTGATCTAATGTTTCAGGATTAATCTTTAATAGATTAACTCTAATTTGTTTATATACATTCCTTGAAGGATGTTTTGTTTTAGAAAAAATTGAAAGAATCATTTCGTTTGTTTCAGGTATTGCCGCATCGATAGTCATTATAGCTTGATCTATAGTAATCATATCTTTTCTGCAGGTTAAGTCATTAAATGTAACTTCATATTCTCCATCATTCGATAGAGTTGGAAGAGGTGTTAACAAATCTGTTCGGATAAAACCTTTTTTGGCTGTAATTTTCTCATAAATTTGTTTGTAGATTTCAGAATAGTTTTTTCTATCTAGAATTTTTTCATCTTTCGGTAAAGACAAGAGTCTTTCAGATAATTCGTGATCATTAACTTCCCATTTGCCGAATGTGTTTTCTTTTTCTTGTTTATAAATTACTGTAAATTTTTCTTCATCTTTCATAATGATAATTTCTTTACACTCTTGAATAACAGTTTCATAGAGATTTATACAATTTGAAAATATTAAACGTATATCACAAAACTTTCTACTATACTTTTCTAGAGTATTATTTGAAATTATTTTTACTTTTTTATTCGAATGACTGATGATTCCCTTTATATGAATTAATCTTTGAGATTTTCTTATAATATTTATAAGATTTTCTATATGATTACAATAAGCACCTAAAATGTTAACTTTCTGAAGCAACTGTTTATATAAAGAAGTATTAACATCTGAACATCTTTGCTGTAATAGTGTTTGCATAGATGTTAGCAAACACATATCTTCACTAAAAATTTCAAGTGCTCTTCGAAATTCTATAACAGCTTCATCTTTATAACCTAAGTCTTGTTTATTCGAGAATATAATTCTTTCTTTACCTTTTAATAAAAGCCACCCTCTTCCAACAAAAGCAGCTGCACAATGATTTGGATCAAGTTTTATGGCTTGATCGAAATGTTTCATTGCTTCATCATATTTACTATTTAATGAAGAATCATTGATAATTAAATCATTACCAATAATAATATGATAATACGGATTTTTAATAATACAATTGTTTTTAAAATTATCGATTATTCTCTTTTTAAAATCTTCATACTCATTACAAAATTTTTTAGGATCAATAACAGATTTTTCATTATCAATTTTACGTAAAAACATAGCCCATTGTTCTTCAATGCTAAGAAGTACATTGATTTCAAAAACAGAAGGTTTAACATTTACAATTAAGTCTTTAACAGTATTCTTTATATTTTTAAAGAGATTAGTATTTTGTCTTATTTTTTGACGTATCTCTCCCAAAAATTTACAAAATTTGGCAAAAAGATCATCTTTTAAATTAATTATTTTTAATTCATGTTTTTTAAAGTCGTCTAACATATTCTCTTCAATATTGTCTCTTTCTTTCTTTATATCAAAATCTTTATAATGAATAAAATTAATAGCATTTAATATTTTTTGACTTGTACCTCTTTTACCTTGTCTGAAAGTTCTACCTAATGCTTGTTCTTCAACACGCTGATTCGATGGCAAAAATGTTAAAATAACATGAAGACCACCGTATTCTTCGATTTCATCTGTTTTAATATGTGTACCTCGTCCCGCTAGATTAGTAGCGATAATTATTTATCCTGGATTTATTATTTCAATATTTTTCTCTTGATTCATATTATTCATTGTATAAAGTTTAATCGCACTGGAACGATATTTTTGTTGAAGTCTTTCTGCTATTATTTTACAATGTTCTATTGTTTCACAAATAATCAAAGTTCCTCTGTCTTTACTCGATTCATTTATTGCTGAGTAACAAATTTCTTTTAGCCATTCTGTTTCATTATCTACTACAATATCAGAGAAAGAGAGATGTTGTTTTTGACTTTGACTAGGAATAATAACTGAATCAACATTATAAACATATGAAAGTACATCCTTAGCCTTTTCTGAACCTAATGTTTCTGTAAGACCAAATAAATTTGAACCGTATTTTTTAAAATATCCTATATTCGATAGAAAATTAGTAGTAAAAGTTTCAGAAGTCATTTTAAGATTATGTTTTATTTGTAAAAATTGATGTAATCCGTCACTCCAATTTGAAGAACTTTGTACAATTCCTGTACTATAATAATCAACTGGTTTAATCAACTCTTCATGTACAACGTAATGTACATTTTTCTGATAATTAAAAGCAATGATAGCATTTTCAATCCATTTAGGTATTTGTGTATTTAGAAATTCTTCAAAATTTTTTGGAATTTTAAGATTCTTCTTAATGAATAATCGAATATCTTTTTCCAAAGATTTTTTAATAATTTCTTCACCATCATCATTTTCCGGTATACAAAATCCTATGTTACTTATATCCAGTGTAGATTCTATATAAGTTTTCAAATCTGAAATAGTAACAATATCTCCCCGTTCGTTTGGATAATCTAGAATAATTCTCTTTTGTTCTAATGTAATCTTTCCATAAAATAAATATAATTTATTATCAATCTCAATAATTTTCTTTTGTAAAGAACAAAATTGATTCCATAATGCATGATATATTATTTGTAACTGATCCATACCAGACATAGTTGTTGCGAGTCTAGCGATCTTTGAACTATCATCAATAAGCATACTATCTACTTCATCTACAATAGCAAATTCACATTTTCTACCTCCTAACGTATTAAGTTCAGCATATTCTGTTCTTAAAGTATCATATTGAAACTGTGCTACTTCACCATAAACTATTTCCTTTTTATAACAAGCTTTTGGACCTGATAAATAAACTGCTCTATCATTATTATGGCTACAACTAAGATCAAACATGTTATAGAATTTTGCTTTTTCTTTAGCATCTCTTTCTGCAAGTACTGGTGAACTAGTTATGATATCAACAGTTTTACCTTGTAAAGCATAAAACACAGCTAATATACTTATAATTGTCGATTTACCTTCACCAGTTGCAACTTGTAATAATCTTCCTTGAGTATCATTCGAATTTAAAGCAATTAAACAACTTTAAATTTGGGAATCTGTTAGATGAAATCTGGTATCTAAATGAGTCGCTCGTCTTATTACTGCTAAAGCTTCTATAGTAAATTCTTTTTTATTTGTAAATGTCCTACCTTTCTCTTTTACTATCGTTGTCTATTGTCGAATGTCGTCTTCTGTCCATTGAGTAATCGAATGTTGATTAAGTAGAGGAAACCCATTTTTATCTTTCTCATCAAACAATAAAGAATTCGATATTGGATTTTTAACTTTTTCTATCCATTCTAATAATATTTCTTCAGTTAAATGTTTCAGGTTTTGATTATTAGAATTTAATTTTTTTAATTCTATGACTAAATCAGTTAAAGTTTTTACTTGACTTTTTTCAGTAAAAATAGCTTCTACAGCAACTTTATTGATTTCTCTTGGCCAATTTTCGACTGGTTTCTTTAGAGATAATTTTATTTTTTCTTGATCCTTTGGATGAATTTTACAATTTGATAAAATTTCGAGAACGGATATAAAATATCGAACTTTATTTTGATTATCCGATTCTTTGAATATCTTAAATAAATGATCTAATTGTTCAAATGTCCAGCTTTGATCTAATAATTTATCTAGATGAATACCTAATTTAAGTCTATCGACGTTTTCTATTTGATTTCCCAAGAATTTTATTTCTAACGATCTTTTTAATATTGAAATTGTTTTATTCTTAACATAGATATCAGATATTTTAATATTATTTTGTTGAGAAAAAGTTAAAAGATTTTCAAATTCTCTCAAATTATCAATATTTTGTAGTGCATCTAAAAGTTTTTTACTAATATCAAAGCCTAATTTCAATATCATTTTAGATAGTTTTTCAATATATTCACAATTGATCTCATTTTTGTTAAATAAACGTTGACATATCATTACTGTTATATATTTATTTTTCAAGTCAACAAGTAAATTCTTACTATTCGATAAAATATTTCGAACACTTTCAAAATCGATTTCCTTTATAATCTTGATTGCCTGATAACATTCGTCAAAGGAAACAGAATTATTTATTATAAAACGATGTAATAATTTCAATAATATGTCACTTTGACCATTTTCATATCCTTCGTGTTTTTCAATATCCAACAAAACTTGCTTAAATATAATATATTGTTCCTCTCTTATTTGAAATCTTTCTATTAATTAGAACATAAAAAGTTCTCGATTCCATTGGTATTGTGGCTTATCTTGAATTTTACTAAAATCATTGGACTCTAATGAAGCTATAATTTCAAATAAATCCAAACTCGAATCTATATCTATATTAATTTTAGTCTTCTCTTCTAGTTTAGCAACAATATGATTACACCATTGTTTAAATATTAAAGAATTCGAACCTTTCTCATAAGCTGCTCTTAAACCTCTAAATGACCAACTACGAATTAATTCATTATCATTAGAAAGATTACTTTCTAGATATTTGAATTCCGAAATTTTTGTTGATTCAGATGCTAGAGCAATACATACAAGAATATCAATATGTAGATTCTTATAATGCTCATTATGATTTAAGATGTCTATAAAAACACCGAATACATTAGAAAAACGATTTGTTTGGAATTTTTTTTGTTTAATAATTTCTTTATATGCATTTAAAATATTCTTTGTTACTCTTTTAGAGAGAATGGTATTTTCTAAACTATCAACGATGATTTCATTTGAAGATTTATCAGGATCTTGCATTAGAATTAGTGCATAAATATTGATTAATTCATTTGTTAAATCTAAATTATTTTTAATAATATTCTTTGAAATGTTTGACTCAAGTAATGTAGAAATAGATCGATCAGAAAATTTTTGTTCTTTGCCGAATTCTTTTCGCATATATTTCAAAAGTTCACAGAGACAAAGGAGTTCTGAATCGGTAGTTTTCTTTAGATGAATACCCAAAGATAGTCTTATTATATCTTGTAAGTCCTCTGGAATCGTTTGATTTTCTGCTATTAATTTGATAATATCTGCTGACTTTTCCTTTTCTTTTAGATCAAGAACAAGTAATATAATTTTATTTGTAACGATTCTTCCTACTTTAACTATTTCACCGATTAGTTTACAACATAATGATTGAATCCTTTCTGACTTATTACTTTCTAATAAAGCAGCAATACTATGTAGTAATTTATCTGGAATATTTTCTTTATTCAAACAATTTAACAAAATTTTGAGAGCTTGAAGTTTTAATTCTGAATTTTTGTCAATGATAGAATTAATTTTATCAAAATTTTGTTTGAATAATTTAGGTTTTTCAATGTCAATTAACTTATCTAAGAAATCAGAATCTGAATCAGATGTAAGATAAATTAGTTCATATGCGATTTTCTGGTTACCTTCTAATTTAGAACTACTCAATAACTCACTTATTTCTTCTTTTGTACTTTCATCACAATTGATATTGGCTGCTATTTGCAAAAGAATCTCTATACTTTCTTTTTCAAATTCTACTTGATGAAGTGATCTAAGTGTTTTAAATCCACTGATACTTTTACGAATAATATCTTGATTATCTGTTTTAAGAGCATAAGTTAACGCCTTTTTAATCGCTTCTATTATATTTGTATTGAATGATTTATCATTTGTTTTATGAGAAAGATTTTGTATATGATTTTTGAAATAGTCTTTTTTTTCGATTACAGAACAAATAACAGGTAAATATTGTTGCATTATCAATGGATTTTCTATAGTGAAAAATTTAACGAGAATTTTTCGAATAATCTTTTCGGATAGAATTTCACCTTGTTGTCCTCGAAGTAGAAAAATAAATATTACTTTATCAAAAATAATTCGATTATCTAAAGCTATGGTTAATTTAGTTAAAAGTTTTTCTGATATGTCCTGATTGTTTTTAACTAAATTTTCGAATATTTCAATTAAATGAGGTTGTACAAGTTTTGGATCAAATTTTTCCACAATTTTATCAATTAAATCATTCGGTATCATTTGTCTATTATTTGAAATATTTAATAATATTTTCAAAACATTCTCACTGAGTGTTAATTGATTATGAATAATCGCTTTACTTAATGCTCGAAAACCATTTATCGTAACTTTCTTTCCTTCCTTCGTCTTTTCACATAAATAAGTAACAGCGTCATTAATATCAGATAAACCCAACCTAACAGTGAGACTTGCCATTTCTAATTCTAAAATATCAAATATATCATCTGGTATATCTTGATTATCATTAGCCATATTTAAAATATAAAATGATTTATTTAGTATATCATTATCAGATGATAAATAAAGATTATCAGCTACAATGCGCAAAATTTTTTCACCGATGATTTGCTTCTTGCGAACTACATTTTTAAATACTTCTAAAATCTTCACGAATAATTCAGGTGTGTTAATAATATTCTCTAATGCGAGTACTGTACTATCAGGAATAGAATATCGATTCGCTGAATATTTAAGAAGTATTTCGATTATTTCTTTTTGATAGTCACTTTCAAACGATAAAATATGATCAAAAATTTGGAATATTTCTTCTTCAAATTCATGATTTGGTGCTTCTCGCGATAATATAAATAAAATACTTTCATTAACTACGTCGGTAAAACTTTCTTTGTCTAATTGTAAATCTTCGAATACATAAATATTAGGCAAAAATCCGATATGACTTGTCATGATAGCCTCATTGGCAGATGACAATTTAGCTAAACCTCGAGCATAAGCTACAGTTGAATACACAGATACATCATTTATCTTATTATCTATGTATTCTTTTAGTGTAACTAACACCTCGTTTTTTATATTATGAGTATCTGAAGCCAAATATAATGATTTCGCCGATAAAATACAAGTTTGTTTGTCTTTACTTTTAAGTGCTTTAGTAAGATTTTCAATACTTTCATCGCTTATTTTAATATTTTTTTGCAAAGAGTTAACAAAGATTTGAGCGACTATTGATGATATTGATTGACAATCAGAATTGTCCTGTGAACATTTCTCAAAATCAATCTCAGCTCCATCTCTAATGATTATCCAATCTTCTAATAATTTTGTTGATAAATTATTAATATTTTCAATCTTTTGTCGCTTCGAAATAATTCCTATGAACATAATAACAAAATTATAAAATTTATCGTCATTTTTGTTAATATTTTCGAACAAAGTTTCAATTATAAATTCAGGTACAACATTATTTTTCTCAACAGTCAAAACTATTGATTTTAATGCTTCAGTTTTCAAATCTCCACTATATTTTGAATTATTTATTAAATTACAATAATTTCTGAGTTGAGTTTCATTCAAACCAGTAGTAGAACTAAATTGAAGATAGTTATTAATAGTTGCACACGCATTTATCATTATCTTTTCATCTGAGATATCTTGTCGAAATAAATTACTAATTACAGTTATAGAATTTACGTTGAATAATTCTTTGCATCTTTTCTCATCTTTACTCTGATCGTAAATATGATCTATTGACGATTCAATATCGTCACCTTGTTCAAGTTGTTTTAAATATCCATTAAATACTTTTTTATAATCTACATTTGGATCATTCTTTACACTTTTTAGTATTTCAAGTATACACCTTTTGAATTCTTTATCATCGTCTTCTGTATACTTTCCCATGTGTTTCAATCGTCTTTTGGTTAAAATTTCACTGTTTCGATTTGCACAGTTACGAATTGTTGAAATAGCTACAAGTCTTAATGTTTTCAGTTCAGATAAGATAATTCTTATACTTTCTTCTTCATCGATATCATGTCTAATATTGTTAACTTGTAGAAATTCTCTTTTTTTAGAACTACTACTCATAAGAGATTTGAATTCTTTTTCAATATCCGTTCTCCAATTCGATTCACCAAAAATTTTTTTTTCTAAACCATTAAGATCATCTACGCATTGCATAAGTAAAGTTATTGTTTTATCAGTTAACATATATTTTTCCGATATTTTGAGAAATATATTAGCAATCATTCTATCGATAACTAATACTGTGATGTATTTTGTAGATATATTGAAAATCCATTTTTTATGAATTCCTATGAATTTAGATGGTATATATTCATTTTTATCTTTCTTCAGTATTATCTGTCCACTTTCTATTCTATTATATAAGTAAGAAATTTCTTTATAGGTAGTACGAAGCGTCGATGTAAGACTTCCATCTTTATCAGGCATTGTTGGAAGTGTTTCTATATTCGAATCGACTTCAATTTTTTCTCGATTTCTAGAAAAATCAACTGAATTTAATATTTTTGATTCTTCGAATTGACTATTTTTGTTTCTTATTTTAATTGTTTGTTGATTTTTTATTACTGCTGCTTTTATTGCTTTTTTAAAGTAATTCCCTGATATTTTTATTTTTCTTTGGTTTTTTTGTCCATCGTTCCCATCATTTACGTAGTGCTGATTTTGAATTTGTTCCTTTAAGAAACTTACACATTCTGTATTAATCTTATTTTCTGTTTTTCCTATTATACTATTAATTTTATTTACTGTATTTTCATCGATTCTTTTGTTGAGATTTTTAGCAAAAGAATTCTTAATTTGATAACCTAAAGCCCATATAATTTCGGATTTTACACTTGAAGAATCATTTTTCTCTATTGCTATCAGAAGTTTTTCAAGTTCAAAATCAAGATTGCCTTTTTTAATGGAATATTTCATAGCCTGAGTAAGAAATAGTTTAACAGAACTATCAATATCTTCAGCAATCAAGTCAGGATAAATTTGATTCCATTTATCTTCTGATAGGCCATGCTTACGTGCGACATACTTTATACCAACTGGTACAAGCAAATGAAATGCCTTTTCGATTTGAAAACCCTTATTAAGTTTGTTGATAACAAATTCTTTACTAAAGCTCTTATATTGTTCGGAGAACTCTTTTACAACTTTCTGTCGCTCTATTTCCATGATTTCACTCTTTTAACTTTCTCTTGAACCCAATGAAGATAAATAACAAGAATGATCAAGAGAAAACAAACAAAGAAAACATCATTTATCTGGCCTTAATAAAATTCTTCTGTTGCCAATTGTAATCAACCGAGATGTAAAGTATAATGATACTTGAGTCGTGCAATTGAATGTGAATTTAGTGATACTGAAATAGAAGTTGAAGACGTATTTTATATGCTTTGTCGTCTTAAACATAAAATATAGCAAAATAATTATAGAAAATGAAATAGAAAAAAGTCTAACACCAATTCAGGAGAATACACAAGTCGACATTTTTTCCAGATTCTTTTTTTGCAGAAAAATCTATCAAGTTTCTTTTCCTATCTGTTACATGTAAAATTCTTGTCTAATTTCTCAGATCTTGTGAATCAGACAAGATGCCGGTAGACAGAATCTTGGATGGTGAGACAAGAAATCTCTAATCTGGAAAGAATCTTGGACTTTTTGAAATCCAGGACTGATTCTTTTTTTCATAGTGCAGGCAGGCCCGTAGCCAGGAGGGTGCCCTGGGTGCTCGGGCACCCCCTTGGCCAAAAAATACCTGGAGGGGGGTACAGGCGAAAAACGTTTTTGTGAAGCGAAAAATTATTTTCCCGCTGGTGGGCACCCCCTTAACAAGTCCGGTACCCCCCTTGGGAAATTCCTGGCTACGGGCCTGAGTGCAGGGTCATTTTCTTGGGTAATCTATCTGATTCTTGTATTTTTTTGTAATCAGAAAACGTCTGTTATAATTAAATTTCTACGAGTATCTTTATTCTTATTTTATAGATCAACAAAAACAACGGGAAAAATACGCTACAATTTAGATTTGCTTTCAACAATTTAGATAAACAGCGAAAATTAATTATCAACAGAAACAGTAGCGTAAAGACAGAGAGCAAATGCATCTATGAGGAAAACAATTTTCATTGAGAGATGAAAAAATGATCCATTCTGATACTAAGATACTACCCACTGTTGATATCCTTATTATTCATCATCGTAAATTCCATGTTAAAAATTTCATGACCCATCTATCCGTCAAAGTTCATAGGAGAAACTATATAAATTAGAACAAAGCTCTTTTATATAATGCAAATCTACTTAACTTCAATTTACAAAATATAAACGTCGTACATCACGATAGTTCTTTCACATTCGCTCATATTATCGATCTAACGGTTTGTTGGAGAAATGAACGAATAAATGAATGTACGTGATATATATACGTACAGAGAAAGAAAGGAAAAAGAAAAATTATCTATAATAGAAGGATTCTTGGCTGAACTTTCAGGTAAAGAAGAATCAGGACAGATTTTTCTGCAAAAAACGAATCTGGAAAGAATATAGTCAAGAATATCGATTTGTGTATTTCTCAAAATACGACTAGGTATAGATGAGCCATATATCGTAAGAAGATCTACATATAGGTATGATGAATGCATCAAGACTTAATATTGACTGGTAAATATGATATTTTCTGCTCATGAACTATCCGAACATCCAAATAAAACAACTGTAAAAAGTAAATACCAAATCTCAGGGACTCGCTGCGAAAATAGAAAAACTCTGTCCATACTGACCATGATCTGTTATTTTCTTTTGTCTGATGGGTCTGTCAGATGGTTTGTATAGCTGGAAGAAATTAAGCTAAGAAATTTGTTTTATGTCTCATAAAGTCTAGCGTCTTGTTCCAAGTGAAACACTGTCGTTTTTGTCATTGAACTCGCAGTCTTGGTATGTCCGCTGTAGATATGAGTGTTGGTCTTATTCTTGGCTACGATAATACCAACCATCATATCTACCCTATCAAGGTTAGCATCTAAATTTGTATGCAATACTGGCATAATGTTTGAACTCTGTATTTGTGCACAAATATAGGTCGATCTACTTTTCTAGAAGTGCAGGATTAAATTATTTAAGTAGAGAATAGTTAAAGTTTACTAATTTTATTGTAGAAATTCTAATCTGAAATTTGGAAGCGTATTATTCACTTATGATTAATTTCATCTAAAATTAATACCTTGAAAGTCCTGAAAATAAATTTATTTCATCGGAGATATCTGCAATGAATATTGTTCGAATTCTGAAAAATAATTCTACTCGCTGTCGCAACATTCAACATTGCGAGATAGGACAGGACAACTACTTGATAAAAATGCTTTCACTGTAGATTAGATAAGAAAAACAGAAAAAAAAATACTATGATGGAAATAACATTTTGCCAAGTGGATACCGCTATAACTTCAAGTAGAGTAGATAATGGATTTTATATCAAAAGAAAACCCAACAAAAGTGGGGTTTATTGGTGCTAAACAATAAGGGCTATGGAAATTTTCATATGTTGAAGTGTCTAAATTTAGGCAATTTTCTCGACCTAAAGTGTCAGAAAAATTCCTGATGAGATAAAGTTTGAATAAAATCTGATAGAAAATTCTTTATTTTCTCATCGTGTAAGAAATACAATCAATAATCAGTATGACGACTGTTAGCGTTCTTTATGACAATCAGCCGAAAGGGATATGAGCATAAAAAAATTTCAAATAAATGAGCGGTATGAGTTATAACGATCATATTATGCAAAATTCTTTGAACTTGGACAGTTCCTCCATATGAACACTTGCATAACCCTTACTGTTTAGTACCAATAAACCCAATTTTTGACGGGCTTTCTTTTGGTATAAAATTCATTATTTACTCTATTCGAAATTATAGCGGTGTTCCCTGGCAAAATATTATTTCAAACCTAGTACAAAGTATCTTCATATTTGTCTAACTAAGAATGCTAGGTCCATTCCTTGGAATCCAGAATCCAAAGCTCTCCTTCGTACTAATCTAGGACCCAGGAAGGAAATTCCTTTCTAACAACCTGAGAGAAAGCTTCCATTGTTAGCAATTCGGCGTGGGTTCCTTTCAGTAATCAACTTAGGGTTCTGGATTTTCGAGTTCAACGATAAAAATGAATCGTTAAGTAATTTGAAAAAAATTCTGTAATCTAACACTATGAATAATTAAATCGATAAATAAATAAATGAGTACAGTTATGCACATAGTATTATAACTACAGTGCATATATATAAGATTTTCATGGATTCTCTTTATATGTCATTAGTTTGACTACTGTCTACCAGAGTGTGCGAGGATTTCCCACGATAAACTTATGTGTCCTAGTGTCTAGGTGAGCTTCTAGGAGATCTACAAAAGTCTACACAGCTCTACAAGAATCTGTCAGGGTTTCGGTTACTGTCGATACAGGCATTTTTTCCAATCAGCTAAGCAACGCAGTCTAAGCCTCTGCAGCCTCTGACATACCCTTAGACCTTGATGGACCCATCAGATTCTACAATATGATTTCGGTACAAATAAATAAAGCATGAATTATTTCCTAGATGATTAATTTTGAATTATTTTGTAATTTATTCGGATGTATCGAGTAGTGACAAGTTTGGAAAACATACCAACTTCTTACAAATATAGTATAGGACGAGATTAATGTGATTTAACTCCTTCGGAAAAGAATAAAGCAAGTTTTCAAAAGGAGCTTCCTCTTCGTTTTTCTGGAAATGGGACACAAAAAATGAAAAACTATGACATCCTTATGCTTACCTTCCAAGTTGGCAGACACAGATATGCTTTCTGTTTGTGTAGAGTCAAAGTTTATTCGAAATGTATGTCGTTTATGTTAGTTATCTTTCTATAAAGGCATGTGTTATCTACGATGACTGAGACGAAAATACTTCCTTCACATGTTGGAATAATATAAAAACCAAATTTTATTTTCTCAATGACTTTTATTTATTTTATTTTGATAAGAAAAAACAGGTCGATAAAAAAGCTGATCTTGTCTACGCAACCAAAGTTGACTGCAAAACAAGATGGGTGTGGTGTGAATGTTGTCCTTCATAACATTCATACCTACACCCACACCCTTTTTTTCCAACATTGCTCTTGTGGACATAGACTAGGAATAGATCTCTATCAGTCGCAAAAAATCAACTCATTTGACCAAAAGCCGGTGAATATATTCAAATTTTTCT